GCGCCTGTGTTCAATTCCGTCCGGTCACCTTGGCGCGACTACCGTAGCGCCGTGTTTACTCTGAATGCGCAGTGTCGCATCCAAAGGCATAATCCCTCCCTCTATGCTCCGTGCCGGGCCGCGGGTGCTAATCGTAGTTTATAGCCCACTTGGCGCCGATGACAGCGACAGAGGACCACTGACCCTGACCCTGCAACCCCCACCCCCACCCCCACCCTCCAGAGGCGGGTGTTGACGTCACACAGTGTCCGGCTCGGACGTCATAAAACGGCCCATACCACCCTCGTAGCCAGGCAGGGCGCGCCGGCAGGCGACAGAGCACGCACTAATTTCATCGAGCCGCACCAATCCCTGGTAACAATGAGTCATAGTCATACCTGAGAGTCAATTCATTTCCACTGCTTGAAAATATAAAGTACCGCTGTTGGCTTGCTTTCAAATCCACTACCAGCTGTTTCACAGTGCATTGATAAAAGTCAAATGAAATGAAGGCTTTCCCGCTTTCCCGTTGAGACAAGCAAACGGGCTTGTTATCACATACCAACGTGAATGCCATAGTCCTATCCCGCGCCCCGCTGGGGGGGGGGGGGCAGAATCTGCCCCCTTCCGTTTTTCGCCAATAACGTCTAAACGCGTTACGCCAGCGACGTCAAACTTACAGTACCTTATTATACATCAATGTGACACGTTCCCTGAAAATTTGAGCGAAATCCGTCGGAAATTTTTTGAGAAATTGACGTTTTAGTGACGTCATGTTCGCCATTTTCGCCTCAAAAACGGCAAAATTTCAAACGCCGCTAACATCTTCATTTTTAAAGGAATCAAGACGTAACAAAAAAGTTTATACGTGATTTCACTTTCTCTATCAAATGGCTGTCTCGGTTTTTTGAAAATTTTGGATTTTGACCCAATTTTTTTTCTAAAAAAACTGACTTTTTTGGGAAAATAATTATAAAATCCAAAATTTTGCGTGTATCGAAAAACACCGGAATATATATCAGAGAAGTGGTCTATGTGCACCTACATACCAATGTTTAGCAGAATCGGTTCAAAAATGTGGGAGTTATTCAAAATTGTATGACGTCACGAAACACAAAATTTTTGAAAAAAATGATTTTTTTGGAAGTTCTAGACCTCGTACGGAAACAACAATAGCACCATTCGATTCGCCGTAACAAACTGCATCAGATAGACATCTTTTTAGGCCTTAACAACCAACTTCAAAATTTGACCTCACTTGACCTGACCTTGACCTGACCTCGACCTGAAAGTCATCCAAAGGTGGTCCATATCACTTATTGAGTGTGCCTATTGAATTCTATGAGTAAAATGACCCATAAAACATGTGTCGCACATGCCCTTTTCTATATTTTGTTTTTGGTGACCTGACCTGACCTGACCTGACCTTGACCTTGACCTTTGAATGACATTGAATGCAACGAATATTGTCTTGGTAGTCCAAGAACACGTTTTGGGCAATCAGTCTCAGTCCATTCTTCGGCAACTACGGTGCAATGCCGATACTGTAGAAACTTGCATTTCGTACCCTTGACCTGACCTTGACCTGACCTCTGACCTACTTAAGCAAAAAATTTGGGCTCTTAAGATCCGCCTTGTTGAGAGCTTTCGATTGCCGTTTTCCCCGTCTTTCTACGACCATCGGTTCGGAAGTTAGACAGGGGGGCAGAATCTGCCCCCCCCCCCCCCCAGCAGGGCGCGTATGGCTGAATAGCCCAGCGGGGCGCGGGCTATATAATGTTTTCCATGAGCCATGATGCGGAAGCTTTTATCAAGCTTTCTGTAACGTCAGACGGACATATATATAGTTACCTAGTAGGCACATGTTACCAAACCACACATCTCATGAAAACCGCGGTGGACCTTTTTCTTTAAAAAAGCTTGCAAACTTGCATGTTACTATAGTCAGTGCGAGGCATCCGAGATGAAGTATAGCTTCAAGGCCTTCAGGAAGAGAATCAATGATTCTTTGGTAGGGTGAAGTCGTATAAGAGTACGCACTTAGTGGATTTCTTGCTCTCATTCGTTTAATATTTGAAAGAAAGAAATCGCAAATAGGGAATATTAAAGTTCATTGAATTAGCCATCAACCCATGGGGCAACGATCCTTCAGCGTAAATGGAAGTGGTCTAAAACTGACATTTTCTGAACCGCTGCAGTTGCGTACTCTTACCATATGGGGTGTGTAAGAGTACGCACGCCAGGCGGGTGGAGTACGCAAGCATATGAACACACACCTATGCAGCTTGTACTGTCCAAATGCTTAACTTCAAACTCAGAAGGCATTTAAGTTTATTCTAGTATCCAAAAAGAAAAACATACCTAAAATAAATCTTTCAAGTCTATAAATCAGGAAATAATCATGTAGTGTGTCTTAAAAAAATGCACAATAAAAAAGGAGAATATCTCGTATTTGGAAGAATTTCGGGTACGCATCTGCATCACAGTGCTCCATTGATGATATACCTACAAAACAAACGTCATTGAGCGATAGATTAATAATTTTATGTTTCTGTATATTCGATTTAATGTATAATTCTGCGTACTCTTACCCTCCTGAACAGTGCGTCCTCTTACCGTACATGCGATTCGCGCACAAAACAACCCCGAAACGTTGTGCAAAACTTCGCAAACAAAATATTGCACTGCACAGTATTTCCCCAGATAACCTCACAAGTTTCCCACAACAATCACGGAAATGTACCTTATCTCAACTGCCAAGTATCAAAATTATTGTACCATACCATAATAATATCATAACGCTCGAAAATAATATTCATCGCCTTAAACTCAACAGCGTCGCCGCTCAACGCCCACGTTCCGTTGGTGACAAGCACGCACTGGCGGCTTCATGTCACTTCATGAGCTCGACAAACCCGCGTTGCTAAGCAACCGAAACAGCTGATGCGTACTCTTATCGCCCGCGTACTCTTACCCGCCCTTACCCTATATATCTATTTAATATGTGTCCTTACAATAAATGCTAACAGGCACGCGCAATGTGCATGTGCCAGTTGGCATGCTTTTCAGTCACACAATTATTTCCTTTTCAGAAGTAGGTATCCTGTCATTCAGGTCGTGGATAACCTTTAACAGACAGCCTTCACCTAAACAAGCCAAAAAGGGCCATGCCTATTTCCTATTCATCATAACAAGGCCCATGGTGTTTTACCTACCCATAAATGTCATGGTCTCGTATTTATTTAAACAGAACACTGACCCTCCTCATCGAGACATTGTTTTCCTTGCATGTTTCTGTAGTTAATGTATACCTATGTTGTTGAATTGCTTTTGGGAAAATTGATCCGCTTGCAACTTGCCTTCAGGAATGATGTGCTAAAGAACAGCTCAAGTTATTCTAATAAAGCACCATTATAATAAATAATGCACAATGCGATAAATACTATCAAAGAGAAGTTATACGGTAATATGACTGATAAATTGATAGCCACAAGAAAAAAAAATCAACCATCCCATCTAATCACTACAAACACTCCGTATTCAGGTAAGAGAGGCACCAGAATTCCGCGCTACCTTCCTTATCCTCTGCGACTCTAGCCCATAAGCAGGCCAGAACATGACACATGTTCTGCTTTGATCCAATCTCTTCGCCGTCCATGCAGAAGCCAAACACACATAGCCTCTACTTATAACCACAATCGGTGTGGTAAAGGAAAGGCATCAGGGGATAATCAGATGTAAAGGACAATTTCTAGCATTTCTGTGAGACAACAGTCAGGAAATGGTGCCGCTCGCACTAGAGCGGCGGGTTTCCATCACTCTCCATCAGCCTAAACATCTGTGTATATTACGGATTATTTACGGTGTATTAATTACAAACAATGTAGGGGCAAAACACTCCTGAAAGTAAACATCAAAACAAGAAGCAGGATATCATGTAGCAAAAAAAAAAAAGAAGAAGAAAGAATGTAAGCAGATTTAGCCATGGGTCGTGCATGTCTGCAAAACTCAAGCCCGCAGCCTGGCACTCGCCTCTTTTCGGCGGCCCCGGACGAAAACATGTCTTTTTCTAAAATCACATTGAGCCGGCAGCAATCGATCCTTGGTGTATCAAGCTAGTCGCTTTATCCCTAGTGGATCACGCAATGGGGTACCTATATACCTGGAACCAAGATCCTATATAAAACCTTGGAACCTGGAAGTTATCACTTTAGACAATCCCCCTCGTACTTGAATATTCGGTAGATCGCCAATGCCGCTGCACTAAAACGGTCCCCTGGCGTACCAAACGAAATTGCAGATTGTTTACAAGGCATCTGCTCAGTATTGGAGTTCACATTTCTAGCCTAGTGCTGGAGCTGAAAGACTGTGTTTATTCGCTGGAGGATATGGTCCAGCGGCTTTGATCAAGTCCCTGCATGAGCGCCGCGATCTAACTGTCCGCCGCACCGTTACAAATTTGGTCACCGAGACGCGACCGTCGCTCACGCTCACGGGTAAGTCCGATGTCCACCACCAGTGAATGTCACGGCCTCGCATGCCATCCAAAGCACACGCGATCGCCCAAAAGGCTCCCGGACCCGGCCGCGTTCTGGAAACCGTCGCGAAAGCGGCGGCCGGGGTGTGTCGGGCCCGGTTTCTGCAACACGTGGCCGCTCAGCGGCACGCGGGCCCGCAAAGCCGGCGTGTTCAGGCACTGAACCAGTGAACGCAGAACGGGCGCGTCAAAAATGAATATTAATGAGACTTAGCTACTGATCCTTGAAGTTTTTAGCAAATTAAGGACAACCACGAACCGTGTCTATTCTGGAAGATTAAATAAAACCTAGGTTTTATGCTACCTTAAGTTGTACCTATGTGAATTTTAAATAGCTTCAGCGTGAAAAATAAATATTTAAGCTTCGATCATAAAAAGTTAATGCTTCCCTACATGGTAGTTCTCAAATTTCCTGTCGCAACGAGCAATAAAGGACAATTAACATTGTCCTAGGAAACGTGCCTTTGAAACACAGCAGTAATATAGTAATAATTTATTGTCATCATCCTAATTGTATCCAAACTGTTCAGCGGCTGTTCAGCGCACATGAGAATCTATGGGAGACATATATGCACAGCGAGAACATTACAGGTATGCGGATCAAGCGACATGCACATTTACAAGCTATTTTGGTCGACACTGACCCTTGTTTCAAAACACACTTGGGGCACACATTGGTACAAAGCTCAAGCAGTCTCAGCACGCGATGAACATACGTGACATTCACAAACATGGGCACACAATGAGTCGATGTGGCTACCCGTCCAGCCGAGCGGGGCTGGGAGGGGATTGTCCTCGCTCGCTCGCCTGGTGAGCACACGCGACATGGTGAGGACGGGTGCCGCCGTCCAGTGTCCGCCTCTCTCCACGAACACACAGGGAGAAGTCGCCGAGAGATGATCCGGCCGGGTCTGCGACAGGCAGCCGGCTGGCACCCGTCACCGCGGCTCCGGTAAGCCGCCGTCACGTGACGTAGGCACGCCAGCACCGAGATAACGTTCTGGTAACATTCTCGCGCCTCGAGCCCTCCGAGAAACACTGAGTCGTCCATCACACCAGTCACAGAGCCGTCTGATCACACAGCCACCCCGGAGGCGGATTAAGCGTCTGTAAGCCGGCTCGGCGGTCCAGCCGGCCGGCCACCGCGCCATCGAACCCGCCAGCTGTCTCCTGAGAACCGATCGGCCCGACCTTGGGCCCCGTCCGTCCCGCGACGTCTCCGGGCCGGCCTTGCTCCCCACCATATGGCCGAGTTTGTGGCACTTCCTGTCATGGGTTTTTGTTGGGCGCGGCGGTGCTTCAGCTGATGCGCATGCACTTGCCGGTGAGCAGGTTGTGCCGGCGGCCGAACGGACAGCGGTCCGGGTGGTAGTCGGTCCAGTCGGGCCCCTCGTGGTGGCACTCGCCCAGCAGGTCGCGTCGCGAGCCCGGCCGGCACTTGTAGTGCGCGAAACTGATGGTGCGGTAGTAGCCGATGGCGTCCGAGCACTCAACTTCGTACGTCAGCGGGTTGACGTTGATGTGAAGCCCCTGCACGGCCGACAGTGTGTCAAAGTTGCCGTTGAACGGGTGATCGTCGTCAATGCTGACGAAGCCGTTGTTCTGGAGCAGCTCCGTGAAGCGGTCGTTCTTGTCGAGCCGCGCGCTGCGCCGGACTCGGCCGCGCACCGGTCCGTCCGCCGGAGACCCGAACGGCCGCAGGGCCGGGAAGCTCAGCTGCAGCTGTGGCAGGGAGCCGGTCTCTGTGTGCCGCTTGGCCAGGAGGCTGCCGCTGCTCGGGGGTGGCGGGAGGTAGCCGTGAGCCAGGGACGGCACACGCTCTGCTGAGGGCTGGCCGGAGGACGGAGCGGTGGGTGTGTTGGCAGGAACGGGACGCGGCGGGGAAGGGAAGGTCTCCTGCTGAGTGAACTGGGGAGGCGGCGGGAGGACCGAGTGGCCGGGCGGCATCCGCTCGCCGCCGGACTGGCTGAGGTGCGGCGGGGCTGGGAGGAAGGACGGCCGCGGTGGGGTCTGCTCGTGTGACTGGCTGACCGGAACCGGCGAGGGCTCGGGGCCGTTCTGGCCGTACGACTGCTCGAACTGGGACGGCGGCGGAAGGATCGAATTGAAGGCGGCAATCTGCGCCAGGGATGGGCCAAAGTGCGGCGAGGGCAGATCAATCAGGTGTGAGTTGTCGCTGCTTCCTCCCAGACGCATAGGCGGCGCCGGGCCGGGCGGGACCTGCGGCGGCGGCGGCAGCATGTGCTTCGGCATGTCGGGCTGTTTCGGCGTCTCCGGCCCATACTGATATCCCTCCGGAGGTCTCTCCAGGATCTGAGACATTGACGGTCCCGATGGCCCGGAAGGCGCCGATGAACCGCTTGGTCCGGAAGGTCCGGACGGTCCGGACATCTCTGAAAACCCGGAGGGAGCTGACGAGCCAAACAGACTAAACTGACTGGCCGGTCCGGAGTCGACCCAGCCGTCGGCAGGGCCGGTGGACAGCAGGTCGTTCCGGTCGAGGATCACCAGGTGGTCGTCGTCGGGCAGCCGGACGGGCTCCCTCTTCTGCGGGCGGCGCTTCTCGCTGGCCGCGCCGATGGAGGAGGTGGAGGGCGGCGGCGGAAGGTCGGTGGCGCAGTACTGGCCGCGCTGCCAGCACTTGTCGTCCCAGGGCACCAGGCCGTCCTCTCCGCACGGGTTCTCCTCGCAGCGGCCCAGCTGCGAGCCAGGCACGTGGACGACGTACTCGCCGGCCGGGCACGGGCCGCGCGTGTACAGGTCGTAGCAGTCCAGGTCCACCTCCACCATGCCCTCGGGGCAGCGCAGCGTGCACTCGTACTTGAGGTTGGCCGGGTTCAGCACCAGGTGGCCGTGCTTCGAGTCGAGGCAGCCGTGACCGGTGCGTGGCACGCACTGGCCTCGCCACGGCACCTGTTCCTCCGGGCACGGGTTGTCTTCGCACACCACGCCGACCTCCTCTCGGAACACGATGTACTCTCCTTCGCCACAGGGGCCGCGGGTGTAGGCCGCGTAGCAGCGGTCGTCCTCCATCCAGTAGACGTGCAGGTCGGGGCAGTCGCACGTGCCGTAGCCGGTCTCCTTGAGCACCAGCTCCTTGTCCTCGGCGTGGTCGCAGAACTCCTCCTTGGTGTGGCAGCGTCCGTCGGGCAGCAGCACGTGCGTCACGTCGCAGGGCAGCTTCATGCACTGGGCCTCCAGCGATGTGGCGTTCAGGACCAGCACCTCTTTGTCGGGGCACGGCGAGCCGCCGGTCTCCATCAGTGGCATGCACCGGCTCAGCGGCTCGTAGAAGGCGTACAGGTTACCTCTGCGGCGACAGGCGGCCACCTCGCGACTGTGGTGGTCCTCCAGCAGCGTCGGGACCTCGCCCGGAGCGCGGGTCGGCATGTCATAGTCGCCCAGGTCGCTCGCCGATGCGCCCATCGCCATCAGAAGAACGGCCAGGAGAGCTCCATGGCCTGATAAAAGCGCCGCCATGGCCGCGACGCTGTGTCGATAACGACACGCAGTGACACCAAACCACCCACCGGTCTCTATAAAAATGGTCAGTGCTGAGTCAAAGAGGACAGCACTGGTACAGAGATGACAATGACTCCCTGAAGTAAGCCGCAAATACGATACCGAGTCCTTCAATAATCGAAGTTATCTTCAGACAGTCGCCGAGATCTACAGGCGATGTTCGAGGTATCTGATGATCCCCGATCGGTCGGCACGGTGCTTCCTCAGTACAGCGGGGGACGCCGGCGCGGCGCGTGCGGCTCGGACGGCGGACGGCGCAGCTCTGCCGTCGGTCGCGTCCGCCGCTGCCACCAAGCCGGACAGACCCGACGGCCTTCCCCCGGCACGGCCGCCGCGCCGGTGCTCAACCGCGCTCCGAGGAATGTTAATCCGCTCGCGGTGACGTCACCGATGACCGGCGACGTCAGCAGCGCGCCGCGGGCAGAGCGGGTCGCCGGTTTCTCCGGGGTCGCCGATCGGAGATCATGCCATGATAACTGGGTATTCGCACCGGTTAGTGTAGAGTATTTAGGTAAATGGACGAACCGTGGATATTTTCCCGTCCGCCGGCGGCTGTCAGTCAATCGTATTTCCCATGAGTGTCTCAAGGGTAAGCGGTTATTGGGATCAATTGACCTATAACATTAAGTCAGTTGAGCTGCACTGCATGAGAAAATACCATTAGGCAGCAGTGTGAGGTCGACTAGCGGTGCAGCGAAGTCTGAACAATAATTTGCTTTCTTTTTGTGTCAAATGCGCCGTTATCAAGACGCATAGCAAAGAGCACCAGTCACTTTAAAGCGGTCATTGTAAAACGACTCTTATCATTTCATCTCATCACTCATATAGAACATGGCATTGCTGATCGACCCCATCTCAGAGTTCAGCCAACAGGTCTTCTACGACAGCGATAAAAAATCAACAAGGCTTATCTCTGCAGATTAGTCGCTAACAGATCTGTGGCGGGCGGGCTGACGCCAAAACGGTTTTCGATGAGCGCAGCATGACCTGGCCACCAGCAAAGAATTTCCCACACTCAGAAATATCATCTCCGGCCCCCTTCATTCGACAATCGAAGTAATACTATTGCTCCCACAGCCATGAAAATATCGGTCTTGTCGCTACATTTCAGGTGGGCCCGGCTGTCAAACATACTCATCCACCCGAGGCCTTCCCGAATAATCAGGTTAAGATTACCAGATAAGGAGACTGGACTGGTCTGAGTCATCTCTCCACACGCTCTAACTCGACTACGCGGCCGGGAGAGCTAACTGGAAATGGATGAGAAGGCCTCTTTCTGTGACAGCCGGCCAACTGACAAGACCGTACTCAGGTCAAGCTGACACTGTCACAGGTGCGCCGAAGCAAGCCTCAAGAGTCACAGAGATGACCGACATCAATAATTTTCGCTCATCAACGAGGCAGGTGCGTGGGAGTTTCGGTGAAAATTAACCGGTCAAAGCTGAAACGGAAGCAGACCACGCTTCACGTGCTTCAGAGATGACCAACACGTGCGCTGCCGAACGGTGATTGAGGGGATTAGCAAGGCGGTGTCTGTCAAAGGGCAGGTAAGCCGAGATTGAAACAAATGCCGCGCCGGATCGTATGCGTCAGACGATAGTGAGACTGCTGCAGCCTAGTTAATCGCATTACTGTCGCATTTCATTCACGATGGCGGGTCCTCGCTGCGCGGCACGAGCAAGAACTTTATCAAAGTACCTACCTAATGATCGTAAGTAAACCATGCAGGCCAGTGTAAGCCCACCTGATCTGTGACGTCCGGAAATTAAAACAAGACATCCGAGAACCTCTCCCTAAGAGAAAACAGTGGCGAAACACGTGGTGACCACCGGCCCGGAACTATGTCGGGGTTCAGGTCCAAAAGACCGGCCCCGGACCCACCAGTCCGTGAGTCAGCCGATCGTTGGCCACATGTGCTGAGTCGCGTCGGGAGGCGCGGCACTAAATCAGCATCCATCTATCGACTTGTAGGCTTTGTTGATGTAAAGATAATCGTGTGACTTTGTCTCTTGGCGTTTCAAGCCGATTTGAATGGTTATCATGAGTGATAATGAAGTAAAAAATGCAGTGCTAGCAAGGCACCAATTTCCTAAAAATTATAGCAGCACATCCTCCTTTCATTTTGTCTTTACATCAGTCGTACGGACAGACACGTTTTAGATCAACTGTAAATTGTTAGCAATGAGCACAGCACAGTGGATGGAATGACCTCAGCTGACAATGCCGCATGGTGGAATGCCGGTAGGGCAGACTGGCCCGATTATAGTTCAGGAGTCAATGCAGGAAGAACCACGGGCACGCCGAACTGCGCTCTGAAGGCGGGGCTGAGTCACATGAGTCGTGACGTGGCTCGATAACTATTGGACTATTAAAGGAACATCCTAACCAAGTCATTCCGAAGAATCTTTCTCTACTGCAATGACTCGGAGTTTGAGGCAACGCCATCTAGAAATTCAGTTAATCGCTGAGGTCAGCTGATTAGATTTATCAGATTCACGTTATCATCCTCCGGATCATTTGTGGCCGCACCTCTAACGGTTCGGGTCAGGTCAACCTTTCGATCAACCAATAAGATAGAGTCGCCGAGCCATAATGCTGTTCTGAATATGCACGTGTACTCCTGACTCCATATAAAGCTGTTTTGATTTAGCTCAAGATAAAGGGGTAATGGCTCATCTGTTTAAGTCAGATGACTAATGAGAGTAGACATAAACATGCATTGGAACAAACAGTACCGATATATTACTTGCGGCACTGAGACCACGAGACCATCACAAATCATCAATCAACCCACCAATCCCACCGGAAGCTGGGTCCTCCCACTCCCGTTTCGATAAGGACACCTTTTATCTGATCGCCGCAGGTCACTGTCACGATCAGCCACCCACCGATACGTGACCTCGGTCACCCCAGCAGCTCCACCCCGCGCCGCTCGCGGTATCGCAGCCCATTCAGCAATTAACGGTAAACGGGCGCGCGGGCCGGGTCCTTGGTGGTGCGGCGGTGGGTGGGTGTGAGGGAGGGGGCGGGTCGCAGCGGCCCTATGTGGGTCAGAGGGGCCGCCATCGGCTCATCTGACCCCAGTCGACCCCACAAGGTCGCCGCCGAGACCGGACGCCGACCGGACGTGGCCGGTTGGACCGGACCGCCGTGCTGACTCCCTCCGGCACAAGTCAGCCGCCGGGTTGGGGCGCCTTTGCACGAGGCCAATTCGCACATGGGACCGACAAGTCAGCCCAGAGTCGGCACAAAGCGCACTGCAGTACCTATACTGCAAGCTGTTAAGATAAGTAAGCTTTAATTTACACTGGTCCTATGCAAACACCGCAGGGTCTGCAATGGAATAGGGTCTGGAACCGAACTGTGGCTTTGCACGCCACCGTAATTTGCGCAGGTCAATGCATCTTCCCTCTCGGTTAGTATTGTACAATTACAGTCAATTTTGTCAGTACCGCGCATCGGTGCGTTGGATCCATCCAAGGCTATAGAACTCCATCCATCAAGTCCGACTGAGGAAGGGCTGCTAAATTTGACAGTCACCGAAGCCCGAACCAATTGACCTGAGGGATGGATGAGGATGTCATTTGCTTCCGTGACTCTGAAATTTAGCAGTCCTTCCACGGTCGGACTTGATGGACCCAGCGCACCGACGCGCGGTACTTTTAAGACTGACTGTACTGAATGCGCATTTTGGTTGTATAGCTCGGAACAATAATTCAGCAATCTGCTATTATTATATATTGCAATCAATGTAGAGTTGGCTGCCGGATGCCAAGAATGTCAGCATATGAACAGAGCTATGTGGAGGTTCAGTTAATCCTGCCAATTTTGGAGAACAACACTTCACTGTCCTGGGGAAGATATGTGCTATTTCATTTAACAACGTCTAATTTAACAGCGGCGAGGATTATGATTACCCATCACTACTTCCAATCATGCAGTAACCTCGCGGTTTGGTGCGGATTAACACAACCATGGCGGCAAATGACACCCTAGGAAGCCGGTTTCCAAATGACAAGGCCACAAATAGTCGCCACATCGCATACATAATGGATGCTTTACATGGCCGATAAGAAATGCCAGCCTTGCGGAAAGAAAGTCCGATGGGCAGGGCGATGGACGCGGTTTGGCGACAGCGGCCGGCTCGAGCTCACCGTTATAACCGGGAGGGGCAGGTCTGTGTGTTCGACAGCAGCGGCCGGCCGCCCACCCGGTCCGGCCCGCTCTTCATCGCGCATGACACGGCGAATCAGTGAGCTCACTGGATACCGGTGCCAGGAGAGACGTCCCGACCGCTCCGCGACTAGCTACCGCCCCAGCTTAATATCATAACGGTCCAGCGAGGGGAGCATATGACTCCTTTCGTGGACGCAAAAACGGAACGCTTCAATGCCGGGGACGGCTGGATCTTCGCGCATGGCACTGGCCGATACCTAACCTTGTACCGGTGTTGTTTTTTCGCCACTGCCACGCCCCGGGCCGGTCGGTTCGGAGTAGGGGAGAGTGGGGCAAAGCGGCCACCCTAACGCTTCTCACGATGCCAACGCTTGATTTTTAAACTTGGAAATATTCTTTCTATACCAATGTGATCCCTATTAAGTTGCCTTTTATATCAACTGCGTTTTATTTCCAAAGGCGTTCACATATGAAAGATATTGACAAAACTTTAAACCTATGCATATTGGCCACTTTGCCCCATACCCTGGGGCAAAGCGGCCACCGGCGTCTTCTCAAGTCCCGATATGAGAAACAAAATAGTTGCCTCGTATTACGGACTAGGGTATTTGATGGTGACAAGGTTAAGCGAGGATGGATGTTTACTTTATCATCTTCCACCTGTAGGTAAACAAAGAAAGGATTTTCACGAAAAAAAAAACATTTAATTGCAGTATTTGGTAACTCATGCAACTGAAAAGTGGCCAAGATGAATGCATGACGACACATTTGAAGATAAATAATGTTTTTTATCCAGATGGAAGCAACTTATGGCCAATTGGGGGGTGGCCACTTTGCCCCGGCCACTTTGCCCCGCGAATACCGTCCGAGACAAAAAAAAAAATCAGCTTAGCTATTAGTGGGGTAAAAAACATTAAAATTGGTAGAATACATGTACATACGATAGCCATGCAATGCATGGACAAGAGCGCTTATAAAAATTCCAAACGGTTATGGAATAACATAACATTTAAAAATTGTAAACATAGTTGGTAACCTGTCAAGAAATGCTTTTCTGTGTTTCACAGAACAATGGTGATGGGCCTGAAACCCCGTTCTGGCTCATTCGAACGACCGTGAAGAGAAGTA